ATTGACGGTCCTTGAAAGCTTGTGTGGGGGACTGTAATGGTGAGCGCAAGGTAAAGTTTTGTTGAATTTCGAATTTGGTGTTAGATCGGAATGCGTGTTTTAGTGGTTAGTATTTATGTAGTACATGAAAGTTCTGGGGTGGGCGTGGTAGGTAGAGGTACACAGAGGATAAGGTAGGACATTGTACAATGAGATCGAGAGACGGAGAGAGTCCAGCGAGAGTCCGGCAAACGATCCACGGAGGAAAAAAGAAACAGGAAAACGGAAACAGACGACGCAGACCTTGAACAGACGGGTGCGGGGATAGGGTGGCACGCTTGGCACTGGTGCTTATTGAGGGTAGCGGGTGGCGGCGGTAAGGTGGCGGTTGGTGGTGTGGCGGGTGGTTGGGGTGGTGGTGAGGTGGGTGGTTGGGGTGGTGGTGAGGTGGGTAAGATGCGGAGCCAGGGCAGCGAGGATGGGCGTGGGTGAAGCAGATATATGGTACTGGGCAGGCTGGGTTCCGATGGGACTGTCAAGGTCGACAGCAGCAGTGCGGGTGTGACGACGACGACCGGGACAGCGGACGGCGGATGTGGGAGCGGGGATTGGGATTGGGGGCGAGGGTGGGATGGATGGGAGACGGGAGCGAGGATGGGATGCGTGGGATGGGTGCGTCCACTCCCGGGCGTTATGATTTTTGGTAAAGCAATGGTCGATCTCTCCGACTCCGCTTGATCCAACCTCATCATCCCAGCAGTTGAACCCTCACCCACCGAGCCCCGCAACACACACCCACACACCGGCAACACACAGTCACCCGCCCTCCTCCTCCAACCACCTCCTGAGCTCGCTTACGAGGCGCCGCGCACACGCCTCGAGCGTCTCGTCGCGCGCGCGCGGGGTAGATACGATGGTGCGTTTTGCAAAGGCCGGCCCAGTCCCAGTTGTAGTTGCCGAGGGCGAGTGAAGGAGAACCCCGACGTGCCGCGGGGAGAAGGAGATGGAGAGGAGGTGGAAGGGGAGGGGGGTTATGCGTCGGGGGGTTCGGGTCGGTTGGGGGAAGTGAGAGGAGGGAGGGGAAGGCGGGAATGGGGACACCGTGGGGCTGAGCGTGGGGGATGAAGGTTTTTTGGGGCGGAAGAGGGAGGAGATGAATGACGTCGACGTCGACGTCGAGGGTGGTGAAGTAGGCGGCGTGCGCACTGGCAACTCGGGTAGCTTCTTTTTGACACTACCGGAAGAAGGCGCCTTTGTCTTAGTCGGGGGCGGGGGCGCACCAACGCACACCACGCCCTTCGCAACACCGTACTCGCGGAGGAGATCCTCAAGCCTGGAGCGGGGCTGTACGAGATCAAAGAGGTCCTTGTAGGCCTCGTCGCGCTCGAGGTGGAGCTCGGAGTCGTCGGCCCAGACGTCCTCGCGTACTTTGAGTGCGATGAAGCGGTCGAGGCAGGATGTTTCGCGCTGAAGGGTGTTCAGCGGGGATGTAGTGGCAGCAGAAGGCGAGTGGTCGATGGGAAAGGGATCGGTGGAGTATGGTCTGCGCACGAGGGCATCGTACGCGGGGAGGTGCGTAGAGCGGAGGACGTGCATACAGGCGATGTACATGGTGCGATCCACGACGCGCAGCTTCACGCTCATCCAATAGAGGGTCTTGCGCTGGCGCTGGATGGTGGCTTGGTCTGGGAGCGGGGTCTGTGGGAATGTGAGGTAGATAATGTGCAGCAGGAGGTGTGGCGGCAACGAAGTGAGCGTCGGCGGGGGTGCGCGGGCGGAGGAGGGGAAGGGCGGGAGACCGGCGGAGGAGGCGGAGGTGGAGGAGGCGTACGACGGGGGAGGCTGCATGACGAGTAATGCTTTTTCGTCGAGGATCATGGTAGGCTTATAATGGAATGGAGGACCTAGTAAAGCAGAGGCTGTCAGCGCAGTATAAGACTAATAGTGATGACTGCGGTCAAGCTCAGACTGCGGTTCGCGTAGATTCACTGATTGAATTCCACTGTCAGTGTACTCCACTGTGCTGTCCGGGGTCACACACAGTGCACAAACAAAGACCCCAGTGTGGCAGTGTCGTGCGTGCAATCCCAACCCCCGTCCACTCCAGTTGCACGCCCCCTTCAATTTTCCGTTTCGTTTCCTTGTCCTCCTACCAAATGGGCTCGGCACGCAAACACACTAGTAACAATAACAAGGGCAAGCCCCCGCCCCAACGTGAGTAATACAAATAATCCCAAGTCCCAAGTAATCCCAAGTCCGAAAACATACCCCGACTCGACATCGCCCTCATGTCCTCATCAGCCAACCACTGACTTGATAAATTGCACCCCGCAGTCCGCTCACGCACAACCCGATCGTCCAAAGCCCGCGTACGTGCCTAGCCCTCCCCATCCCCACGTTCCTCCAACCCAACCCAACCCTAACCCCACCGCCCCTCCTTACTCCTTACTAACACCCCCAATGTTACTGTAGCTCCTAACATCCGCCTCCCCCGCCGCATCCACCGCCCTCCTCTCCACCCAGCTCCGCGCCCTCGGCCTCTACGCCGCCGACACCCTCGGCGATGGCAACTGCCTCTTCCGCGCACTCTCTGACCAGCTCTATGGTTCCCCGTCGCGGCACATGGAGTTACGAGGGAGGGTGTGTGATTGGATCGAAGGGCATAGAGAGAGGTATGAGCCGTTTGTGGAGGATGAGAGGGGGCTGGAGGTGCATTTGAGGTGTATGCGGGAACATGGTGGGTGCATCATTTTCTTATGTCGCGCGCCTTTTTGTGGTTTATTTATTGAACTTTGAACTGTGGCGTACTCGCAGGCACCTACGGAGGCCATATGGAACTATCAGCATTCGCGCATCTCACAAGGAGGAACGTCAAGGTTATCCAGCCCGGACTCGTGTATGTCATCGAGTGGGCGGCGTTCGCGACGCCCCCCTCCTCTCCTGCCACTGCCAAATCTACCTCTGCACGCCACCTGTATCAGTATCACGACGACTATGATGAGGAAGGGGATGAGGACGCGCGTGAGGACGATGACGATGATGAGGACGATGAAGGGGAGGACGACGAAAGAGACAGAAGACACCGGAGACACGATCGCGTGCGGGACGCGCCCAAACCCAAGCCTTCAAAACACGCGCCGCCACCGCAGGAAACGGAGGGTGATACGATTTATGTTGCGTGAGTGTCTTCGTGTTCTCTCTCCCCCGTCTCCCCCTTCACGAACGAAATACTGACGCCCAATGATAACAGGTACCACGACTGGGAACACTTCTCCTCCATCCGGAACCTGCGCGGGCCGCATAATGGGTTGCCTGTGGTTAGGGAGGTGCCTCCGCCTGAGGATGTGGCTTCTGCTCCTACGCAGGGGAAGCCTTCATCATCAAAGCATTCTGCTCCTGCTGCTCCCGCCTCACCGAAGAAGACGATTACGAAGAAAAAGGTCACGCTGAAGCTGGGCTCTGGTTCTGGGGCATCGGGGAGCGGGAGCGGGAGCAGCGTGAAGGAAGAGGAGAAGGATCCGGCGGGGGTGCCGCTCCCCGCGAGTCGGGCGGCGTCGCCGTTCGTTGGTCCCTCGGGGGTGTTGGAGGGGACAGGGGCGGGTGGGCATCCGTTACGCGCTTCGTATCTTCCCACCTCGTCTACGTCTTCCTCTTCCTCATCCTCCTCGTCTTCCACTTCCACCCACACCCACTCCGATACGCTTCCCCAATTTTCTCATTCTCAACCCCATCCACACCACCAACAAGAACACCCGAAGCACACCCACGCACACGCACGTACGACCCCCTCACCCAAACGCGCACTCGAGCTCGACGACCCAGGGGATGATTCCGAATGCTCTTCCGAGTCGAAGCGGTCGCGGACGGGGCTTCGCTACCAACATTCACGCGCCGAGTCTCATGATACGGATACCAATGCGCCAAGCCCCCCGCCTTCCTCGATTTCGACAACTTCGACTTTGACATCGGCATCGCTCTCATCATCATCTACCTCCACCACCACTTCATCAGACTCACCCGCTTCAGCAGACTCCCCACCCTCCCCCTCCTCGCTCTCACCACTCACTTCACCTGCTTCGTCCCCGGAACCCGAGCCCTCCCCTTCTCCGCCCTCCCCACGCAAAACATGGGCAGAAGAGAAACCCCTAACACGCCGCCAGCGAAAAGCACTCGGGCTCCCGAAGCCGCGTTCTGCGCTGAGGGGAGGAGTGGGAGTGGGGGCAGGGAAGATAGTTATTCCGGGGGGGAGGTTCAAGAGGCCTGGGGTGGTTAAAGAAGAGGTGGGGAATGGGGAGGAGGGAGACAAGGAGTGGGTGAGGAATGGAGCGGGGAGGGTTGATGTTAGGGGGTTTCGGGAGCTGAAGATTTAGTGTTTTTTGGTGAGGGGAGGGGAGGGAGGGAGGTGGGGGGTCTTGAGGAGGGAGGGGGAGAGAGTGTGGCGAGATTCACCGATCCTCGTCGTGAGGTTTTGCACGGCTTGCCGTGTTGTTTATTGGAGACCACAAGGTCTTGGTGGACATTCATCGTCGTCGTCGCTATCGCTATCGATTGTTCACTGTTCACCGTTTGTTGCTTGTTGCGCACTACATACTCACTATCCACTCCATAACATTTTCCGCACTACACCATTCTCCGCACTACATGCATACACCATTTACACACCATCCATTCCCTCTACATACACATCACACATCACCACATACATCCAAGTGCATCCAACATATCTGAACCAACGCATACCATCCATCCACAAGCACACCTTTTTTACTAACTGACTAGGACACGACACATTGTCATGACATGACATGATACGACTCCGACGAGAATGCATGTATTTTATTGGGCACACTCTGACATTGCGTGCAAAGCTCGAGGCCTGAGGACGTTAATGGATAGCCAGGGCCATGCCGCGTTGGCGTAGTGGTAGCGCGTCTCACTTGTATCGAAGTAACGAGGGTTCCATACATATGGAATGAGAAGGTCACTCGTTCAATCCGGGTACGTGGCATTTATGTATGTATCGGCAATAGCCATTACGTTTTAAATTCGCGATAGGATGTTGAACTAGCTTTATATGTATGTATGTGGGTGATGGGATGTTGAGATGCGTAGTATATGGGCAAATTTGAAGAGGTAGCATGTGGGACGAGAGAGAAGACTCAGGAGGGGCAGGATGGGAGATTTAATGCCGCGTTTGCGCACTGGGAGCACATCTCCGAACCTGTAGTATACACACTGCAATGAAAATGCAATGAGAAGGAGACCCGTTCGATTCGGGTCCAGTGTAGCAATAACACTGTGCAATAGTAAACATCGATAAACGTTTTGAGGATTTGACTC